GAGTGCCTCAGTAAGGATTTGTAAATCCTTACACTCTGCCACCTTCTAAATAAGGCAGCCCTGTACTGAAACAGGCCCCACACTAGCGAGGATTCCGTAGATCTCCTCCTTAGCTGAATCCGACGGCCGAAATGCCTTTGACAATAATTTTGAAAAGGTTGGAATGTAAGCCGTTGATGAAGTCCGATTTCGATCTGACGGTCGAAGATGAACTGCCCAAAATGAAGTAGAAGTTGGAATGTGGGCCGTAGATCGAGCAGGTGTAGATCTGACGGTTGAAGACTGACGTGAAAAGAGAGGGAACCTGCTCACGCGATTGAGCAGGGACCGTTGATCGTGTCGGTGTGATCGCGATCGTCCGTCGTGCTGACGCAACCTGACAAACTCAGAAAGGACCGAGAAAAACGCCAAGGAAAGAACAGTGCAAAGCACTTTCTCCCCCCCTCCAAGAAAGCAGTCCACAGAATCTTCAAAGCTGCGCCGAAGTTAAACCCAACAGAACCAGGTGTTAAGTCCCACTGAAAACGAGCGTTGAGCGTAGGGGACAAGGTGAAAACGTGTCGGTGTGGAAACTCGATGACGACACCAGGTGTATGTGCCCCAAAATTCCTCATGGGCGAACCAGCGGAAGTAGACCAGAAACCGCGACGGAAAATCCACGTTGCTCGAAATGGACTTGTTTTGTCTTCACATCGCCGGAAAATCAGGCGATATCTTCAGCAGTTGCAGTTGGCAGCACCTGACGTGGTTGAGAATTAATGCAGTTGTCGTGGGCGGGTCGAAGGCGAGTTGTCAGAAGCAGAGTTGGGATGGATTCTCCGAGAGTTTTGTCGTAATCCGCCGAGAGTTCGTGGGCAGGGATGAAAATTTGCAGCTGTCTCTCCCCCCCGTCACTGTTGCTGCTGCCGTCTTCAGTTCGTCGTAAGTCGTTCGTACCCCTGAGAAAATCCATGTAGTCCTCGCGGTGTTGCCCGACGTAAATGTCGCTCGCGTTTAACCAAATGCCGCAACTCCTCCGAAATTGTCGGCGCTCCTCGCCGTAAAACCGGCAAGTCCACTGGAAACTCCGAAATTGTCGCTCGAAAAGTAGCCCCGTAAATCCGCAGTTGCAGGTGCAGCCCACCTCCGAAATCTTCGGTCGTATTATAGCCGCCCACTCGGTCACCAGCAGTTTCCGTCGGTTACCCGACCCCAGCGTGTGGGTTCAATCGAGAACCGGGGACTGCCCTGGGTCTTCCGAGACCGAATTTCACGGAACCTAGTGGCATCAACGCCGTTGACCCCGTCGTTGAAACTGCTCCCGCCGATGAAGTTTAACTGAAAACCACGCAAAACTCCCACTGGCGCTTTGCAGATGTTTCACCCATCGCTCGTCGCCGGTAGGTAAATCCGAAAACTTCGGCTGCTCCCACGCTCCCTTTTACTGAAGAATTTCCCGCGGTGTACGTTTAAACACCAGTGGGTTCTAGGTATCCCCGCCGCTGTGTTTCTTGCCAGGCGACTTAAAAGTGACCCTTCAGGCGAAGTCCCCCAACGGCTCCACCGCACTCCAAGAAGCGAAGAAACACCCTCAGCTTCAACTCGTCGTCATTTTTTGTTGTAGGAAAAGTCACCCGAAAATCATGGTTGAGGCAGCAGTCCCGAAGTTATTCTCCGCCGTGTAGCCCCGACGTTTCCGCCGTTTACCCTGGTACTCCCTTTTCACCCATCTTCATACCCGTCGAAACCACTTAGCGAATCCCATGTATCATTGGCAATGAACCGCTCGCCGCGCCTCCATGTAACAATATCAAACCCCTTCGGAGGTCTACCGAATAGACTCCGAAATTCGCGGTGGATTGGTGCACGGGCTCAACCTCTCACTCAAGTGATCTGCTGGATCACCCACAACTTTCCCTCCGTCGTCATTTTTTTCGTATTCACCCCCCGACAATTCCGCTTCCCGCCGTTCACCCAGCGTCCGCTTTTGTCGGATGAGGTATCGTCGTTGTTGCCCGCGCGAACTCGGCCCCGGTGGAGAGGCAAAAACTATTGGAGTCGGGGTCCCTTAGTTAAAAGGAAACTATCGCCCAACCGTTTTGCAGCCCGCCGTGCCTATCACGCCACTAAAATTTCACAGCTTCCCGGTCTCAGCTTCGCCGCTGCGCCGTCATCTCGTGTGTAGACGCCCGGGTCAGGAGAAACCTGTAAACTGCACCGATGCTATCCTCGCAGCTCCCCGATTTTTTCGCGTGCCGTTCACCCAGCCCGCTTTTGTGCGAACTCCATTTTTTTTTGTATTTTCTATACAGCTGTCGAACGAGCACCAATCCAGGTGCCTTTAACCAGCACAGGGTAGGCACGTGTTCACCCCCGTTATTCGGCCAAGTAAGTTGACTGCATGAGTCAGAACTAAGACTTGGTGGGGATGGTGAGGTTCGGGCGAAGTAGGGCCGCAGATCGATTCCTCCGGCTTTTAATCTGCTCCCCACGACGTTCTTCAACCCTCGCTTAGCCGTTGGACCGTTTCTGCCCGTGTGTCCCGGCAGCCTGTACCGACCCCTCCGAAATTGTCGGGCGGTACCTTGGACACCGTTTAATCGTGGGTTGTCAGCAGCTGTCCCCGAAAACGAATTCCCTGGTCAGGAGAAACCGCTCTCGATACTGCCGGCCAGCTTGCAACAACACCAGGCACGCAGTGTCGCCGAGTTGATTCGAGGTGTACCTGCCCTGATTTCCCTCGTCGCCTGCGTCCCACTTCCTCGTAAGTGCGATTTAGCCACCGCGTTTTCCGTTGCAGCCCGTAAGTGTCAGCAGGTATGAAGCCCCGTCTGTCCACGAGCACTCCTGCCGAAAATTGCTGATGACGCGCCCGCCAATGCAGTAAAAGCCGCCGCACTTAACAGGTCGGGCGGGACGGCAGTTGACTCCCGCTAAGTCGGGCAGTCTAGTGTCGTCTCTCCTCGCCACCGACATTTCCGGACGCAAAACTCCATTTGCGCCTGGCGAGTTCCCCAGCCGACTTTTTCTCCACAGTAGCTCCGAAATTATCGCCACAGTGACGCACGTCCCTTGTCGCCAGCTGCCGAGCCACACTCCGTGAGTCACGCGCGCAAGATGACGACGAGCCACCGTTGTCACTTGCCGCATGGGACGACCCCGAAGTTGTCGCGCAACTGTTGACTCAGGTCCAACGTCGTCAACTGCCACTCATCGTGACGACTTCCGAAAATTTCGTGCAGGTGCCGACGCAGGTCCGCTGACGCCAGCTGCCTCACAAAATTCCGAAATCGTCGTTAAAACCGCAGCGGAATAGAAACTCACGTTTAATGTCGCGACAGCTACAGCTGTCCGTTGCCCGGGGGGAGGGAGGCCACGGTCGATCGCGACCGTTCGAGGCAAGGATCTGGCGGTGCCGAAGGAGTACCCGTAAAACTATGGCCGCGAGGAGCAACTAACTCGTTCTCCTGGCCAGCCTACGCAACTCCTGGACCCCAAGACATCCTTCCTCGTCCCCCCCCCCCCCCCCGAGGGGTATTACACTCTAAAAAGCGGGGTGAGCTAGGAAAGTAGCTCTGATACCAGGTGTTATGAATCAACTTGCAGAGTGCGCAGAATATCGAATAACGAGAATGAACTGATTACCGAATTACTGAATATCGATACAATGGAAGTGACGAGGCCTAAATAGGGGAAGTCCTAGCAAGGCGGGGAGGTTGGGCGAGGATGGCTCGGTGATGGATGCGATTGGTGCGGAGGCGACTCGGGAGTGGTTCGGAGCGACGAAATAGGAAGGACAGGTTCGTCGCGTGACCCTCGGGATGGCCTCGCTAACGAGTGCCTCAGTAAGGATTTGTAAATCCTTACATTAGGAGCTTGAAAAACTGGTTACGCGATTACAACCCCAACTCCCCGGTTCACAAGCGAAGCGAGTCCCCAAACGCCCCACGTCCAGCTCCCCGCACTCACAGTTCAAAACCGAAGGAATTGCAAAAGGAAACTGAAACTGCAGTAGTGAGAGGATAGCCCACAAGCTCCTACTTCGGTAGCTGATTTCCCGTAGACTGGGCAACGTTCTAACCTAACCGCTGGATTTAGGTACAGAACTATTTATTGAATCGCGTAACGCTGTTCAAGCGCATGCGCAGACAAATTGCCCATTCGTACGCACTCGCTTAGACCACGCCACCAGGGGACAAGGCCGCCCCACGCCTCCTCTCGCTGCCTCACCGCGAGGCCATTAGCGCCAGCGCCTCCCCTCCCCACAGCGTCCCGCTTAGCCTCAACGCGCTAGCATCTGCCATCCCATCCCGTCCTCCACTCCTAGCTCGCCGTCCGCCGTTCACCGCGCGCGGTGAGCCGCTGCTGAACGCCTCGCCGCTCGCGTGCCTTCCCTTTCACGTTTGCCTTCCGTCGTTCGCCTTTCGCCGGACGACGTCCGGAGTGAGTCTCCCCTCGCCGAACTACGCTGCCTCGATCGTTTTCCCCCCTGCACGCCCTCGTTCCAGAGCACTGAAATCCCCTTTCCGCAACCTCATTTCCGCCCGCAATCCCCATTCCGCCGCCTTACCCATTCCTGCTCCTATCGCCTCCCGGTTCGAATTCTCCTTTCGCCTCCCCGGGCGTGCTCCTCTCGCATCCCCGCGCTCTCCTCTCGCTTCCCCCCCGCGCTTCCTCCTCACGCCTCCCCGCGCGCTCGACTCTCGCCTCCCCGCGCGGCCTCCTCTCGCCTTGCCGCGCGTTCTCCTCTCGCCTCCCCGCGCCTGCTCCGCTCGCCTCCCCGCGCCTGCTCCTCTCGCCTCCACGCGTTTCCTCCTCTCGCCTTCCCGCGCATGCGCATCTAGCATGCGCATCTTCCCTGCCTCCCCTCGCTACCTCTCCGCGTCTCGCGGCGGCCTCCTTTCGCGAGCTGCACTCGAATAAGGCCCTCGGCCCTCTCTCACTCTCTTGCAACGGCTGTGCTTCCGCATCCCCGCTGCACGCCCTCAAAACCCCCCCCCTGAACGCCCTCACTGCCCCACATGTACGCCCCCGTTTTCCCTCCCTGCTTGCCCTCGTTTCCCCACCTTGCACGCCCTCATTTTCTCCCTTGTACGCCTTATTTTCCCCCTTTGCACAATCGCATTTCTTCCCCTGATTGCCCTCAATTCTCCCCTGCTTGCCCTAATTTCTCCCCTTCTCCTCCCTCCATGCCTTCTCCTCCTCCCGCCATGCCTTCTCCTCCTCCTGCCAACCCCTCTCCTCCTCCCACCATGCCTTCTCCTCCTCTCGCCACCCCTTCTCCTCCTCCCAACATACCTTCTCCTCCTCCCAACATGCCTTCTCCTCCTCCTGCCACCCCCTCTCCTCCTCCCACCATGCCTCCTCCCCCTCCCGCCGTGCCTTCCGTCCTCCCGCCATTCCTTCTCCTCCTCCCACATCTCCGCCCCTGCTTCTCACCATTTCACCTCCTGCTTCTCCTATTTCCCCCCTTTGCTCCTCCTTCTCCATGTTCTCAACTTGTCCACCTCCGCTCTTTTTCGCCTCTGCTTCTCTTCTCCCCCTCTCCTCCTCTTTTCCTTCACTGCTCCTCTTTCCCCATTCCCCTCCTCTTATCCCCCCCTACTCCACTTCCCCTTTCTGCTCCTCTTGTCCCCCTCTGCTCCCGTTTTCCCCCTCTGCTCCTCTTGTCCCCCTCTGCTCCTCTTGTCCCCCTCTGCTCCTCTTGTCCCCCTCTGCTCCTCTTGTCCCCCTCTGCTCCTCTTGTCCCCCTCTGCTCCTCTTGTCCCCCTCTGCTCCTCTTGTCCCCCTCTGCTCCTCTTGTCCCCCTCTGCTCCTCTTGTCCCCCTCTGCTCCTCTTGTCCCCCTCTGCTCCTCTTGTCCCCCTCTGCTCATCCTTTCCTGTACTGCACCTCTTTCCACCCACTCCTCCTCTTTTCCCCCTCTGCTCTTGTTTTTCCTCCCTGCTCAGTTTTCATCCCCTGCTCCTCTTACCCTCTCTGCACTTCCCTCTTATTCCTCTCCCTTCCCCACCAGCTCACTCACCCATTTGACCGCCCCTGCTTGGGAAAAAAACACGGATGAGGATTCTGAAGGTCAACCTATGACCGCTAAGAACCATCATTTCCCCCCCTGCACGCCCACATTTCCCCCCCTGCACGCCCTCATTTTCCCCCCTGCACGCCCTCATTTTCCCCCCTGCACGCCGTCATTTCCCCCCCTGCACGCCCTCATTTCCCCCCCTGCACGCCCTTATTTTCCCCCCTGCACTACCCTTCGCTTGCCTTTCCGTCACTTCTCTTTCCCCTCTGCTCACTCTCTTCATCCACTCACTCTCTGTTTTCCCCCGTCACTCACCCTTGTACCTTTTGCTCACTTTTCACTCACCCCTTTTCCCCATCTCCCCTCCCCATCTCCTCATCCCGCCTCCATCTCCTCATCCCGCCTCCATCTCCTCATCCCGCCTCCATCTCCTCATCCCGCCTCCATCTCCTCATCCCGCCTCCATCTCCTCATCCCGCCTCCATCTCCTCATCTCACCACCTCTCCCTGCCTTCCCATCTCTTTCTTCTCTCTTCCAGGGCCTGTTATACACAACCCGCCCTCTTCAAACTGCTCCTCAATCGCTGTCCCCATCAGCACCTCTCAACCTTTCGCTCTCTGTGCCTCTTCCCTCCTTTGTCACTGAGCCACGCTTTGTCCTGCTTGTAGCTGCGAGCATCCCCTTACCTCCTCCTTCCTCCAGATCGCCCCATCCCTCTCCGTCGCTCCAAATCTCTCCTTCATGTCTCCCCATATCGTTTTCCTTCCCATCGGCCACGGGATCAGGACGAGTCCCGTCCGCCTTGCACACTCGCCACGCCTCCCCACGCACTCTTCCTGCCATTCTCACTCTCGCAATCCTCACCGCCATCCCTCCCTGCCTTTCCAGGACACCTCCCTGTCTATCCATCACACCTCCCTGCCTTTCCATCACACCTCCCTGCCTTTCCCATGGGTTTGGGGCCCCATTATTTACCACTGTGACACAAGGTGTCATACAACTTGTACCAGGTGGGTATGCATATGCAAAGCTGCCGGTTTTGCGTCCAAGTCAGCACCATATTGGTGTGCCAATTCCCTCTGCTCCAGCTACAAGCACGGTAAACGCCTGGCCCAAGCGAGCTTGTCAGTGTGAAGGGAGGGGTGTTATGTTGCAGGAGTGTGTCATGGCATGAAGATGACACCAATAGTAGACGATAGTGCTGTTTAGTATACTTAGAGATGATTTTTTATGTGTACATACGATACAACCCAAAGCTCCTTTTGGACATTATTGCTGTGCTCATACACAAATGTGGAACTGAGTTGGCTTAGGGTTAGAGGACAGACACCTGAAATTCAGATCACGTGATTCGTATCGGATGTACGGTATGTGAACTGTTGGAAATAAGAAGTCGCTAGAGCGCAGCGGAAGCTCTAGGAATTAACGACGTCCCTACGGCGGGGCTATTGGTCACTCAGAGGTAGCTCTCCTGGCTTGTAACGTGGTGCCAAAGCAGCGGCCGAGGGTAGGCCGGACACAAGCTTGAGAATTGTGTAATATGAGCAAGGCATTACATTCTGTTATATAGCAAACGCATAGGGCAAACAGTTACCAAGGCTTGGGTTGCCTTGTTACAGTCGCGCTGGCGAGACTTTTCAGCTTCGGCAAGGGCGCGGTATCATGCCGCGTCCCACAGGTCAGTTTCGCGTACTGTAGACGATGATGTCAGAACACGCTCTTAACTCTTGACTTAGTAACTTAGGGTTTACCTAGGAAGCGTGAGTGTCGAGAGTGAGCATGGCAAGAGAATTGGGCAAAGAGGGGATTCACTAAGGAATGTTTACAAGATATAGGATAGGGGAGAGGATAGGGTACACCACCAGCAGTTGAACCTAATAACTAACTAATACACTAGCAAGCTGTAGGCAGTTAGGATATGCAATATAATTCAACACACCCCCGTAACTGCCTACGGCTATAGCTAGTGGTGTCTGGCACCAGGTCGCCTGGAGAGCGGTTGCTGTAGCTGGGATAGGCACAGAAACAGCGGTGGCTGAGCGGCAGCACCTGTGAATGCCAGAACGGAGGAGGGCGCGGAGAGCGCGGAGGAGGGCTGGGATAGCCGGAGGGCGAAGGATGCTGGTCGCTCGCCATCTACGAGCAAACACAACTGTTGGTGAGGAGGAGGAAGCTGGTGGTGGTGCACAGGAGGAGAGCAGAGGAGATGCGGCTGGAGAGGAGAGAGGAGGAGGAGATGCGGCTATAGGAGAGGAGACTGGAGGAGGAGATGCGGCAGAAGGAGAGGAGAGGAGAGGAGAGAGGAGGAGATGCGGCTGGAGGATAAGTTTGTATGCTTTTATTATAAGTGCACTGTTCGAAGTGTGCTTACAAGGGCTCGCCATAGCGAGGGATTTGAACCTGGTGGCGAGTCAACGGGCCGCAACCGAGCACAGCGGTTGCGACCCGCGTGGCAGCTCAAGAGTCGAATCGACAGCAGGAGTCATCGTCTACAGTACGCGAAACCGACCTGTGGGGCGCGGCAGGATACCGCGCCCTTGCCGAAGCTGAAAAGTCTCGCCAGTGCGACTGTAACAAGGCAACCCAAGCGACGCAGCGCAACTGTTATACAGTTGCGCCTTGGTAACTGTTTGCCCTATGCGTTTGCTATATAACAGAATGTAATGCCTTGCTCATATTACACAATTCTCAAGCTTGTGTCCGGCCTACCCTCGGCCGCTGCTTTGGCACCACGTTACAAGCCAGGAGAGCTACCTCTGAGTGACCAATAGCCCCGCCGTAGGGACGTCGTTAATTCCTAGAGCTTCCGCTGCGCTCTAGCGACTTCTTATTTCCAACATGGTATCAGAGCAAGAGTTCCAATCCTTGGAACCTGTGATAATTTCTACAAATGGGCCCACCACCTAAATCATCACCAGGAGCATCTTCTGGAGCAGGTTCGACCTGCCACTTCCCACGGAGCACTACGTGGAGGAAATCTTCAACGCACCGTCGCATCATTTTGGGCGACTCAGCAAGACGAATTTCAAGGAGTTACAGCAAAGTCCCTGGCAAGGACTGTGAAATAACGAGGAATGGATTGACTAAGGGAAAGTTGGGTACAAAAGCAAACCCTAGAAAACTGTACCCCATATGTGCTACCCCACTATAGCCTACAGTAGCTATGTCATATAAATCTGACACACCCCCATAGGCAAAGTGGGGGAGAACAAGGGGTCACAAGACCAGTCAAGCAAAGCAAAGCAAGCTCAGGGTGGATCACAAAGTCACCACACATTCCGAGCACAAGTTCAAGGCCACAAGGCCAGTTCACATGCAGGATTGCATATATATATATAAGGCTAGACAAGCAAGAGCAGGTGTATATATATATGCAACAGTACAAACAAGGTCAAGGGGTGAGCAAGTGAGGCAAGGTAGGCACAAGACCCAGCTGAGTACAGAAGCGCTGATGATCACAAGGCGGGAGTGCCTTGGTGAAGATATCAGCAGTGTTGGCCTTAGAGGCCACGTACGCAAGCCGCAGCTGACCACGCTGCTGTAGCTCACGAGCAAGGAAGTAGCGGAGAGCAATGTGCTTCGTTCTGTGCTCCAGTCTCTGCTCTCGACACAAGGCCAGCATGGCCTTGTTGTCTACGTACAGCACTGGAGGAGAACGAGGCGGCTCTCCGAGGTCAGTCAGCAGGTAGGTGAGCCAGCGAAGCTCCTGTGCAGCCATGGCACCTGCGTAGATCTCAGCCTCACAACTGGAGCCGAGAACAGAAGACGAGCGGGTAGCCCGCCACGAAACAGAGCCGGAACCAAGGCTGAAGGTGTAACCCTGTGACGACCGCTGCGTAGCCTGGTCGTCAGCCCAAGAAGCGTCTGCGTGCCCAGTGAGGACCACTGGACTCTGCCCTCCAAGCACAAGCCCCATGCCCGACGTACTGCACAAGTAGCGCAACACCCTCTTCGCTGCAGCCATGTGCTCCGGTCTGTGTCTCCCAGGAGCAACATAGCGTGCAAGAATGCTAAGAGGGTATGCAAGGTCAGGTCGTGTGCAGGTCATCAGGTACATGAGGCAGCCAACAAGCTCTGGGTACGGGCCACTCGACTCTACGGACTCATCCGAAGGCAGAGCTGAGAGCGAGTGGCGAGTAGGCAGAGGAGTGGCCTGAGGTGAGGAGTACGTGAAGCCGAAGCGCTGAAGGACCTGCTGCACCATGTGTGACTGAGTCAGGGTAATGGTGCGGCGTGCTCTGTCCCGGGTGATCTGCAAGCCAAGGTAGCTGCGCAGTTCATCCAGGTCTGTGCACGTGTGTCTCTTCTGCAGCTCGGACTTCACGTGGGCGAGTCCAGCAGTGTCAGCTGTGGCGAAGACCAAGTCGTCGACGTACACGAGGATGTAGAACGGCGGCAAAGGAGTGTCGGTGCGCAGAAACAGCGACGGGTCGGCAGTAGAGGGAGCAAACCCAAGAGCCGCAAGCGTAGTCCTCAGTGTGTCGTGCCACTCACGCGGTGCCTGGCGGAGACCGTAGACTGGCCGCCGGAGGCTCCACTGGGTGCCAGGAGGAAAGGACCCAGTGAAGCCAGGTGGGCGACGCAGCCAGATCTCCTCGTGCAGGCTGCCCTGCAAGAAAGCAGTGCTGAAGTCAAGAGAGTGCAGCTCGTAGTCGCGGTGAGCAGCTATGTGCAGCAGTACCCGAAGAGTGGTCATCTTCGGGGTGGGAGAGAAGGTCTGAAAGTAGTCAACTCCCTGCCGCTGACTGAAGCCACGAGCCACGTAACGCGCCTTGAAGACAGGCGGAGAACCCGGCGGCCGCTTCACCCTGAAAATCCACATGCCACTGACGATGTTCGCCCCAGGCGGGGGAACCTCGTCAACGTAGGTGCCTGTGGACTTCCAGGAAGCCATCTCTGCGTCCATAGCTGCCTGCCACTGAGAGGAGTAGGGACCCTCTATCGCCTCCGCGTAAGAGCGCGGAGTCGGGATGTCAAGTGCATCCGGGTCTCCCTCAGGGGTAAGCAGTA